ATTTTGATTTGCATTTTCCACACGTTTTATTGGTTATTGGTCTTTAAGCTGTTTGTATACACACATTTTTCTGATTTACTCATAACCTTTTTACTCGGCTCTTTTTCACATACTTTACAACTTTTCTACACTGATTCGCATTTTTCCACGCATTTGTACACTCTCCCCCGCTCACTCGCACTCCTCCCCACTCTCTTGCTCTCGCTTTGGCTCTCTGTTTTGTTTTGCTTCCCGTCAAGTTCTGTGCACTCTCTTCCCGAAACTTTTAGCAACAACAAAATCACATGAGAACTTTGGCGCCTTTTTATCCTGGCCATAATATCTACCCCTGAATATTCCTGTCAGCCCTTAGCACATTTTCCAATGCGAGCTCAAGAGCCGCAGGCAGTGCCGTTTCACTATGTGCAGCTACCTACGCTCATCTGTCAGATACTATGCCAAGTATCTTCTGGCTTGGCCTTAACCGAGTGCAACAGATAAACTAGAAGAGAGAGGGCGGGAGGTAGGCTGGCCTTAAGACTGACTGACTGCTGGCTGCCATGGGTAGTATTTTGTATCTTTGTTTTGACCGTAAGATACATTTGTATCTTGTATCTTTTTGCACGTATTGCTTGGTCTTTATGCTTGTGTTATTTTGCCTATGCACACTTTACTTTTATACAAAACAAAATGCGAGTACACAAACCAGCATATACTCTGACACACACACACACATATACAGAATTTATATTTGGTTTTTGTATCTCTTAGCTGCCGACTTGGGTTTGAGTTTTTTGAGTGGCTTCGCTCTTAAAGCCGCCGACACAACCACACCTTATTATAGCAGCTACTTTAATAACTGCGTTAAATGCGTGCCTATGACTGTGTGTGTGTGTGTGTGCGCGTGAGTATGTGTTGGTGTGTTTCACAGTTTGGGCGTGCCAAACTTTGCCATAGCTGAATGAAACATATTATTTTAAACAAAGTGGTTTTAAACTAAATTCAGATAAAGAGCGCAACACGACAATAACAAACTTCAAGCACACACACACGCACACAGATGCAGACACAAGCGCACACACAGACACTTGTACAACACCTTATTTCCAGGCAGCTGAAGACAACACAACACAAATCTCGTACACGTTTTATGACACGCACACCACAACCAGAATTCAGAATGCAACACGAAGCGATTCTTTGATTTCTTCTCTTCGGCTGCAGGGACTTTATTTACGTTTCTATTCCTACTAATATATTTGATTTGTATTTATTTTGTATTTTATAAATTGCCCTGCTTGGCTTTCGACCGCTGCCCGCTCATGGAACGTTTCGTCGACGCTCAAAACAAATTCCAGACTGAAAACTGAAACTGAAATGAACTGAACTGAAGTCTGGCTGGCCATAGAGCAGCCCGCCAAACAGCTCAGCGCACAGACTTGGCTTGGCCTCTGAGTTCCGTTCGACGTTCGCGTCGAGTTGAGTTAAGTTCGTTGCGGCTGGAACGCAACAGTCAGCGCCTCTCTCTCTCTCTCTCTCTTGAGTCGGATCTGCAGTGCTTTCGTTGAGTTTGTTTTGAGTGCGAAACGTTTTTGGCGGCATTTATATTTTCGAGTGTGTTTTGGGTTTGGGTTTGGGTTTGGGCCGTGCCCTGCTAGTGTAATTGATGTAGCATGGTTGTTGT